CATGAATTGTTTTCACAGCTGATGCAACTCAATGAGATTGATAGGGCAGAGACTTGCACACACAAACACATGCTGCAGATTATACAAGTATCTAAGCAACTACACAAGGACATTGAACAGATAACTAAACATACATCTATGCCAGTCAACTAAACGTAACCAGTGGGTTAACCAGTAACTGGCTTTCAATAATATGTTTTATTGATCAACATGTCAGTTCACTACAAGGAATACTAACAAATAAATGATTAAGGGGTTGAGGGTCTTCTGTCAAAATTTAATGTATGAACTCTGTTCTGAAAAAATCCTTGCTTGCAGGGTCTAGTCTGCCCTGGCTCAGTCTGCTCTCAGCTTTTGTACAGAGCCCCACTCCCTCAACAGGGAGTGTTGCCTGACAGTATCTTCCATATGCACTTATTTAAGCCTTTACTTTGCATTTTGTGCCCGCTATAAAGTTGTAAATAAAAAATACCTCTCCTTGACCTGTTGGGACAGAAGTAGACTAGCATTTGGAAAAGCTAAATACTTTAGTGCCATTCATCTCTAGCTGCATTCTGCACGTTGACGGCATGACTATACCCTTAATAGTCAGTGCTTTACATTGTATGTGTTATTTTTCCTGCAAAGGATGTTTGATGTGGGTGGACAGCGATCAGAGAGAAAAAAGTGGATTCACTGCTTTGAGGGAGTTACTTGCATCATATTCTGTGCTGCACTCAGTGCCTATGACATGGTTCTGGTGGAAGATAAAGAAGTGGTGAGTCAGAAGGGACAAGCAACCCTTTTTGCTACTAACTTTTACTGTACTCTCTGATGGCATATCAGAACTATTCCTGTTCCCTGATAACAATTTAAATGCCATTATGCTGTATTGTAAGAATATTACAGTAAAAATGACATATGAGGATGAGATTTGTCAGACTGTCATGCTCACCTTTGGCATCTCAACAGAATCGAATGCATGAAAGCCTTCAGCTGTTCAACAGCATCTGCAACCACAAGTGCTTTGCAGCCACTTCCATTGTGCTGTTTCTAAACAAAAAAGACCTTTTTCAAGAGAAAATAACAAAAGTTCATCTCAATATCTGCTTCCCTGAGTACAATGGTAAGTTTGGGATTTTCAGAAGAAAAAATATGTAAATGATTAGCGTTGGCCATGTAGTAAAGGCTATGTCTCAGGTCACTGATATAGCATCTTGCCCAAATATCTAGCCTTTTTCTCAAAAGAATGGAAAGGGACAGATATTGCCAGAATTCGGTTCATCTCACCTACTCTTGAGGCTTACCTGAGGGTAGGATGAATTCTCTCTATAGATTTTTTTTTTTTTTTTCTCCACCAGTTTATACAGGGAGGCTAAAGGACTAGAAGGTTTAGATGGCTAAAGTCAGGTGCGATAAAGGCAGGCAGCATTATCAGGGCAAGCCAGTGGCCTATCGCTCACACACACTGTATCTGAATCCAGGTCTTTTTGTACCTGTTTTGTAGACACGTTCCATAAAGGAAGTCTGCCTCTTTTTATATGTCACAGTATCTACTAGAGATAGATAACAGCAGCTGTTTTAAATTCATGTAAGAGAATATATAAAGGTGTGTCACAAAGTGCCAGAGAAAAACAACAAGCTGCAAGTATTTCAGTGTTAACCTAACGTATTTGTGATGGGGAGTGTCCGGAATGAAACATACTTAAAAATATATATATTATTAGAAGATGGGTTGCGTGTACTTCCTAAAAAAACAGCTGCCCCAATCCCTTTTCTAGGGCGTGTCAACACAGCAACCTAGAATTGCTCATTGTTTCATGGGATAATCAATCATCATGTGCTAAACTCAGTGCAGCTATGGCAGTTTACACTAGCTGAGGCTTCAGAGACACAACGGGAGTCACCAAGGGCCCTCAGCAACAAGTATCTGATTCACAGCACGCTCTGTACCTACAGTGATTCAGTATTCAGACCCATATCAGTATCAGTACTCAGACTCGTTGTTGCAAGGAAGTACTACTGAAAAGCAGGAAAACTGTGTAAAGAGCATATAAGCCTCTGAATTTTTTGCTTTTTCCTTCTTCATTTCTTTTTTGCTTTTTTTTTTGTCCTTCCATCAATCCTGTCTGCTATAGAACCATTTCCCTTTGTATTTTTATTTCTGTTTCTCTCACTTTCTGCCCTCTCTCTAAGGTACTTAATTACTTCACACTGTCTTACTCAATTGTGAGCATTTCACTTCAGAAAGGAGGCCTTCTGTTTAGGCACTGAAATTTAAATTTGAGTGGGCTGTCTACACACAAAGCTTCCATGCATAAGGCCTAAAGTTAAATTCCTAAAAAATCCCCTGTTTCTTAGTAACTTTAAGGACAACCAAGCTGAAAAATTTCTTCTCTCTTACTATTATCTTCAATAGGACTAAATACATTTGAAGATGCAGGAAATTACATCAAGAAGCAGTTCCTAGACTTGAACATAAGAAAAGAAGACAAGGAGATATATTGTCATTTGACATGTGCCACAGATACGCAGAATGTCAAGTTCGTTTTTGATGCAGTCACAGACATCATAATCAAAGAAAATCTGAAAGACTGCGGGCTTTTCTAGCCATTCATTCCCTTGCTCCCAGTCTGACTTCATCTCTGCGCACTTCTTCGCTCATCCTGTATGCTGACTGAAGTAAAAAATAGTAGGGAAGAAACAATATTATTTAGGCTCTAGTTAGCTGTCAATTGAAGTTTTGGGCTTTAGTTAGCTTTATCAATTGAAGCCCGAGCACTGTAGAACAGTAATGACTTTCTATAGGCCATAAGAAGATTAAAAAACATGTTCCTGCTCCACAGAGATGCTAGCTGCTGATAATTCCGGCTGGAATCAAAGGGAATTTCTCATTGAAATTCATACAATTTGAAGGTAACCAGCACTTCTTGGGAAGTGGGGGATAACTCAATACCCCATGTTTTCTAGTGGGGGGGAAAAAAAGCATATAACAGAGATTAGATAATGTGTTTTTATTTGCATTTAAAGTCTTAAGAAAGCCATAAAATAAAAAACAGTATCACTAGATAATTTCAGCTCAGTACTTTTGCACTGAGCTTGAGTACTTGAGTACTTTTTCCATGCTACGTTCACAACTAAAAATGACATTACATTAATCTAGCAGAAGCAAACCCCCAGACCTATCTGGTTTATGATAAAGAGCAGTGCAAAATCTACATGTTCTATTATACTGTTTTGGTAGAAGAGCTGAGGGACACATACACATAAACTGTACACATGTAAAATTCACAAGGCCTCTTACCCTGTTTGGAGAAAAAACAGTAAGATGTAGGCAGATGGCAGGCAATTTTTTGGAAATATCCCTGAGGGAAAAAATATTACAGTAACTATCAATTCCTGCATATGCCATAAGGATAAGTGTAAACATTTTTTTAATACTTAAAGACCTAACTTTTTTTAATAATTAATAGTCTCGCTGCTAGACAGCTTCTCTGGTGCTCTGGTGAAAATGACTATTGAAATAGTGTAGAGCAAATGCAATCTACCAGTCCCAGTAGCAAAAACACATTCTTTAGGCTCTGGTACAGAGGTCCATTTTCTATGCAAAGAACTTGCTAAGAACCGCTTTACTCTTATTCTGATTTATTGTGACTATAACTCTGGAAAATATTTAACTGTTTTAAATGGAATGGGAGTTAATAAAAATAGTGTACTGACTTTTGAAATTTGACCTTGAAACAACTCTCAGATTTTGAAATCTGAACAATGATAAAATAAGCTGATTTTTTTACGACATTTCAATATAATTTTCAGCATGTGTTGATTATATTCTGGTCAAGCTAACTATTGAAAGACCTATAATAAGGAATCTAGTCTGTCCCTGAGCAGCAGAATCCTGCAAGCTCTCCACATAAGCAAAGACCAAACTGGTCTGTGCTGGTCACTCACCAAAACTAGGAGCTGATGCTAAACACTATAAACAGCACAAATCCTGAGGTAGAGCCCTACTGTGAAACCCTATAATACCACAATCTTGGAAAATGCAGCCCAACCGTCTACTGAATTTTAAGACTTAAAACTTGTCACTACTGCCTCTTGCTGTGTGCAGACTCACAGCTTCAGCAGTCTTCCTGTCAGTGTCCATCTAGAAATCAGCTGTTTAACAACAAGCACTTCTGATCCAGTGGTCTAAGCCAGTGGACTGCCAATGGGGCTGCCAGCAATGAGGATGACTTTGATGGTGTGAAGACATGGGAGTCCTCAAGTAGATACAAGGGACTGGGATAGCTGAATCTTAGCTGAATCTGAGCTACCAAAATAAATGTGGAAAACTACTGCCTCCTACCAGGAACATGTTTGACAGTTGAGGATAGACTAAAGGGATTGATACTGGTGTCAGTTAAATTGCATATGAACTGCATGCAGACAGCTGTAGAGATTAAATAGTATATGAAAGGAAGAAAATGTGAAAAATGGTGAGAGTTTAAAGTACAGTAAGATAAACTTAATAGAAGGGATTGTTAGGCCTTGGTTTGGGAATAGCACCTTGACTGACACCTGCCAGACTAAAGGCCAGCTTCTCCTCACTTGATTTGGAAAACTGTATGCAAAGCCTTAGCTAGAGCTGTGCAGGGAGCAATCCCGCGTGAGAAAGATGGCTAAATACAATTTCTACTGTCTAGATTTCTATTACTGCCCGATCTGTAACGCTTTACTTGACTGATTCCTTGTTTGTATTGAAAATAACAGATTTCTAGTGCTAAGGTTTCTGAATTCATTTCCTGCAATAAATCTCGTTTGAAATGGACAATTTCAACTGTGGTGGCAGCAGCATTAATTTCTGGATGGCTAGATGGCATAATAAAAGCCAAGGTCTTACGAAAATAATCAATCTATGAACAAACGCATCTCAGTCATTGTTTGTTTTTTTTTTTTTACTCCCTTAATCCACTTCAAGCAAAAGGCTAAGAAGCTGGATGGACTTTACATTGAAGCCTGAAAGTTAATAAATACAAACCTGCACACGATAGTTTTCCTTACTTCGTGCTTTAGGAAGTTAGGCTGGCCACTAGTAGAAACAAAATACCTAGACATATTATTGGCCTGATTTGCCTGTTTTTTTGTTTTATTTCTGAACCTGAGTTCCTGGCAAATCAATGACAGGAAGGAGTTCTAGACTTTGCGGTCCTCTAGGGGGAATAACTGTGGGAGATGTCACTGCAGTCCCTGTGCCAAAGGGGCTGGCGAGGCTGTGAAGCTGCAGGGCAGGGCGCAAGGTGAGTAACTTGAGCGCTTTGCGGTATGCAGAAATCCCACGGATGCTCCAGCTCTGTTAGGTAGAAGGCCTGGTAACAAACATGGCCGGCGAGCCCTTGAAGCTGAAATCTGTGTGTGGTGAGAGATGCACTGCCTGCACTGCCAGACCCCTGGTGACAGGAGCAGGGCTCTCCCTCAAGCAGAAACATCAAGACACAATCTTTGCAGTCTTTGCCAGACATCAATTTTCCACAAAACAGAGCACCTCACTGACAAACAAAACAAAGACAGGCCCCACTTCACCTTGCCTTCTGGGCAAACTCATCAGTATGTTTAAATTTAACACAGGGAGAGCTTCGTTTTGAGTGTGACGGGTTGAGGCTCGGAGGAGCTTCCCCTGTCAGTAAACCAGCCTTCGCCACAGCAGCAGCAGCAGCAGCAGCAGCAGCAGCAGATTGCTGCCACAGATGGGGATCGCTCACGGGCCCAGCTCCGTGCGCAGATGCACTTAGGAGACTTGCTGTGGCCAGACCAATCCAAACAGGCAGCTAAATCCCAAATAATCATTTTATTTTTACATTTAAGGGACATAATTTACGCCACTGACAACTACCGCGGAATACTGATTCACGCTCCACCGCCTAGCGATCGACACCCGGGGAATGTTAACTGCCAAAAAGTCTAGACAGGCTCATCAGCATCCTCACATCTGCTCGCAGGCACATTCCGAAACCCCAATTTAACGACCAATAAGCAAACAAAACCCCCACCTAAAAATTCAGGATAAATAACAGTAATCAGAGACGCAGAGCAAGCGGGGGGCCTGAGTCGCTA